TAAAAAGATGTGATGATCTCTATTATGGTCTTAATATGACAACTCTAAGAACATTGATCTACGAGTATGCTGAAATAATCATATTCCTCATCGGTTTAATCAAAAGTCGAAAATGGCTGGACGTGATTGGGTGTATGGATTTTTAAAAAGGCGCCCTGATTTGAATTTACGACAACCCACGTCAACTAGCATAGCTAGAGCAAATAGAACTGAAAATTCTAAAAAAAACAAAGAAGAATACTACTAGCAAAGATAAGGCTGTTAAAGTTAAGGCTAGTCAAGAAAATATTAATGATTTTAAGGAAAATGATGATTACTGTGCATTGTGTGGTGAAAAATACGTTGATCCACCTACAGAGGATTGGATTAAATGTAGCTTATGTCATAGCTGGTGGTATGAACAGTGCACTCATTATGAAACTGGTGCTTTCATATGTGATATATGTTCTAATAATTAAGATTTTATCATATCCGTTAAAAACGATCTCATATGAATTTATCTCTATTCAAAACTGTTAACTACTCTAAGCCTTATTCTCGATAAAAATCAAGTAAAAACAGTATTTGTCAAAAATTATATATTTAATATATAAATATAAAAAATGAAGTAAAAAATGATAAGTATTGATAAAAAATAATATTTATAAAATTAAATATGGTGTAACTATATGTAACAAGTTATGGTTTAAATTATTACAAATGCGCACACTTACCCGCAGTGCTGCGCACGTTTACCCCAATATTGGGGTAAGTGTGCGCATTCTGACTAACATTTATTTTATTTTATTTCTTTAATTACAATTAAGTAAATTGAATTTCATGTTACGTAATTGTTAAATCAATAAATCCTTTAAATAAATACTTTTATTTCAATTTATTTTGTACAATTATTACAATTTTATGATCATAGAAAAAAAAATGCGCAGTCTTGCCCCACATGACTCTAGGGGTATTTAAAAAATCGTTTTAAACTCCTAATTTACTAAAAAATAGCGGTACTCACCAAAACATCGTTTATGAAGTCCTCGATCGGAAACGTCATTGATCCGTTCAAGTTCATTGTAACTGTCCGTTACACACTTGTTACGCACTAGTTGTCAACACTTGTGATGTGGTATCCGAATCCCAGTTGCTATTTATTCGGTTCGTCGTAATTACGGGTAAATTTTCACTGAATGAGGTGTCGTTAGGTTTTCGGGCCTAATATCACTTAATGGCAAATGTAATGATTCGCGCGGGGTTGGATTTTAAAGGGGTGATTCGCTACCTGGATGCAACCGAGACTTTTGCAATATAATGATGCATAGGCATTTTGTAGATAACATTTCAAAATATATTTTGGACCGATGAATCAATATTTACAACGTCTGCCGTGATATTTAATCGAAAAAGTATGCATTATTTTAGAAAATACAAAATGTGTTTTTGAAGTAAACAAGCAGTGACGAAGATACATGAAAGTATGGTGCACAATCTGGAGATCTAGAATTTTAAGATCCGTATTTTACCAACTAAACTGAACATCCGTAGGATATTTAAACTTATTAAGGAACGAAATTCGGCGATTTATACATAATAATATTTCCCAAAGAGAGCATCCAAATTTAACTTGGCGGCAAGATAAAAGCGGAGATAGAAACTTATATAGATAAAGTCAACGTGAAGATCGATAACGTAAATGACGAGACGGAAAAGTTTACAAAGAAAGTGAGACAACTTGAAAGAAAAGTTATGAAAAATAATGTTATCGTCCTTGGTCTGAGGATCGGCCAAAATGAGCAGATACAATCGGTAAGCTAAATTACTTATGACAAACAGATATAACTGAAGGAGATATAATTAGCAATTGGCAAAGGTGAACGGGCACCAATAATTATCGAATTTGTTTTTTTTTTACGAAAGACTCTATTGTTTAAAAACGCGGAGAATCCAAACACCAAAATCAAGGGATTTAAACTGGTTGTTACCGAAATCACGTATACAGCAAATGAACTGGAAGAAATTGAGAATTGTCAATCTGAAGACGACGACTACCCAGGAGAGGGAAAAGCCTCTGAAAACTCAGAAAATCGAACAGGCTACGAGGTCGACGATAAGAAGAAAAAAAACCGAGACTTATTTACAGTTCTTTTTTATTTAGTACTGCTAGATCAATATGTATTTGTTTTACGGACAATTGGTTCTTATACAGTTTAAATACTTTATAATTTAATAATAATCATGTTTATTTCCATTGACTTTTAACAAAAGTATCGGATCATGTCAACAAGTACAAAAAAACATTAGAACACTAAAATACAAACTTTAAAAACAGATACGTACAAACACACAAAGTATATCACATTGAGCGATCGGCATTACTACAATCAAAGTATTCTTCGATAGAATAAAAAACGTTCTGACGGACAAAGGCAACTTGTTATATAGTTTTATTGGTAAAATCATAGGACTGTTAGCTACTTTGGCTAACTTATAACTTGGCACCTGCAAATTAAGATTAGCTCTAAAATTGTCATCTCCATCAATTCTGGTCATGCAATAATTAGATAGATTTCTCTTTATGTAAATTATGCTATTTAAAGTTAAGGTTTTTTATTTTCACAACAAAATTCTTAGATTTTCTCGAGTATTGCAAAGGACAACCATATGCTGATGACAAGCAGCTCTACCATGTTTTTGACCCCTCCCGATTGCAGCTTGAGTGCCAAAATATCAACAGTGACCTTGAACGAATCGACAGAATTTCCAGAGATCACGGTTTGCTCTTAAACCCAAAAAAACCTTCTATAATGCTACTTGGTCGGCCGGTGGATGTTTAAGTGTCTTGCTTCTGAAGTAATCCTAAAAATAAACAATATTACTCTTCCACTGCAAAGCGGGGCAAAAAAATTGGGGTTTACTTTTAGATTCAAAATTTTGCTTTGAAAAACATATCTCGACTTGTACGCCAAGGGCTATTGGCCGTTTAAAAGGGTTGTATAGCTCAAGGCATATTCTAATTCGAAATCTTAAGAAAAACATTATGCGATGCTCTTGTTCTCTCCTTGTTTAATCACTGTGATGTCATATATGGGCATTGTTTGACAGTTAATTTGTTACAACGTATTGAAAATATTCAAAAATGCTGCCTGAGGTTTATTTACGGCTTACGGGTTTGTTATGCTTGATCCATCGCTGTTGTTTTTATTTCAAAATAATTAAGACAAAATATCCCGAATACCTCTACGAAAAAATAACTTTTAGAACAGACGTGAATAACTTAAATCTAAGTTACGACTTGGCTAAACTATATAATGATCTGCCCCATTCCACTGGGTACTGCTAGAATTCTTAAAAAAAATTTGGTATTTACAGTACCTACTGTAGCCTCGACTTTAGTTAATAGTTTTTTATTTACAGAGGTAGGTTTAGGTTTTTCTGTTATATAATTAAGTGGGTATTTAAATTGAAATTTAATTTAAGGATAAGTGTAGCAAGCAGCAAGCAGATACGTCTGGGCGCTGCACTCATGCTTGCCTTTTCTTGTAATTTTCCTTGTCGAAATTACCTGAATAAAGTTTTTTTTTTGAGGAGGAAATGCTTTATGCACACTACGCGCTTGGTGGTTTGCGTCATGGTAGTGTGGGACTCTCCGAGGTTTCGGACTACCCACTAAAATCCCCTGTTGCTCCAATCGTTACACCCGGAACCGTCGTCGACATATCTTCAGGTGCAACCAGCAGTGTTTGTTTATCCTTGTTCCTGCCTTGTTTGTTTTTGTCTTTCAAGTTCGTCTCTCTCTTTTTCGCTCAAAATTCTTCTTACCATATCTTTCACAGCCCGCCAATTTTCTGCGCTTTCCACCATCTTCGGTACAAAGGAATCTAGATCTAGCGCACAGCCTATTGCGCCATGTGTTTCCTCCCTCAGCTCTCTCCATTTCGAACACTCGAACAGGGTGTGTTGGGCGGTATCAACCTCGGAGCAGTATATGCAGTGGTCCGTGTGGTCCTTGCCAAATTTCTTAATGTAAACTCTAAAACAGCCGTGCGCGCTTAGGGCCTGTGTTAAGTAGTAATCTGTACTACGAGGTTTGCAATCTAGCCACATTTTCAGGTTCGGTATGAGCTTTTTGGTCCATTGGGCCTTTAGAGTCTCGTTTTGCCACCTTTGTTGCCAGATGTCTAGTGCATTTTCGCGTGCAGTAGCTTTTTTGTTTTGTTGGTCTCCGCCTTTGTGTTTATAGATGTGCTTTCGTTCATTGACCATCAAGTCAATTGGTAGTACTCCTGCAACAACCTGCAATGCTTTTAGGGATACTGTTTTGTAAGATGATGTCACATGCAAAAGCATTTTTCTTTGTGTTCTTTCTACCTGACATTTGTATTTCTTGACTGTTAGCACTTCACTCCAGACCGGAGCACCATACAGAATAATGTTGTGCATAGCGCCACACAGTACTGCTTTTTTTTCGCTTTTGGGTCCTCTTACATTAGGCATAATTCTGGCTAAGCTGGATATTTTTGCTTCTGCTTTCACAGTTACACAGTCAATACGTTTTCTGAAACTTCCTCTGCTGTCTATGGTTAACCCTAAGTATTTCATTGGTTTAGAAGGGATCACCCTCGCTCCTTTCAAGTTGAAGGCTATGTGATCTCGCTTAGGTCTTCCCCTCAAAATGACCGCCTCTGCCTTGTTTGGTGCTAAAATGAGTTTGTGCGTTTTCATCCAAGAGCTTATTCTCTCCAGACACTCATTTGTGTTGCTCATGAGCATTTGGTCAGAGTCCGCGCCGACAACAGGCGCCAGGTCATCGGCAAAACCGATGGTCACGGCATCCCTAGTAAGTTCTAAGTTTAATACGACGTCATATAGGGCGTTCCACAATGTCGGCCCCAAGACAGAACCCTGTGGAACCCCGGCCTCAGCATCCATGGTTTCATTTTTATCAAAAAGTATTTTTCTGTCTTTCAGATAGCTTGATATGATGTTTACAAGGTATTTTGAAATTTTCTTTTTCTTTAGTTCCTGGATAATTAGTCCGTGGTTGGCCGAATTGAATGCATTCTTAACATCAATTGTTAGGAGAACGCACCACATGTTCTCATACTCCTTCGCTGTCTCGATGATGTCCTCCAGCGCCTGCAGCGTGGACTTGCCTTTTGTAAATCCGTATTGTCGGGGATGCAGGCCACCTACTTCATCTAGTTCCTTCTGGAGCCGATTTCTGATGAGTGTTTCTAACAGTTTGCTTAGCGTATTTAACATACAGAGGGGTCTGTATGAGCTTGTTAGTTGTGGTGGTTTGCCCGCCTTTAGGATCAAAGCTATTTTAACCACTTTCCACAGTTCTGGGAGTTCTTGGAGCCTCAGCAGCTTATTTAGAATCGCTATCAGCCATTCAGAAGAAGTGTTTGCCACTATCTTAATCGCTTCCGGAGGAATACCGTCCAGACCCGGAGACCTGCCGCTTTTCATGCTCTGGGGAGCTTCCTTCACCTCTTCTTCAGTGATCAAATCGACATTTGCCTCAGCAGTTATCGTCTCCCATTCGTTGTCTGATGGTGGGAAAAGATCACTCACAATCTGGTACCAGGACCCTCTTAAACATTATTTCATACAAAACTAATGATTTATGATTTACGCGATACAAATATGGTGAAAAGTGCATTTTTGAAATGGAACATCCTATATATTATGACATATTCCAACAGCAAATTAAATGTCTTTTAGAATATCTTTTTTGTATACTTAAATCGTTTGCTTTTTGATATAAATTTCTCTGAAAACCAGATTCCTGTGGAATAATTCATCTTTTAAGAGGCCACGAAATATTTGTCTTAAGTTAAATAATTCTTTTTCCCTAGACAGTTCAATAAAGATTTGCTCATTATAGATTGTGGTGCAAATTTTGTTGATAAAATCGGTTGAAAATTTTATTGAATTTATTTATTATGCATGGACAATGCAACTACATTATAGCGAGAACATGCAGAAAATTTAATGAAACGATCAACATTAACTTGAATAAGAAAAAATTTGAACAAAAAAAAATGCTTCAAAATATATTTTGGAGTATTCAACGATCCATTGTCTTTTTATCTTTTAAGCAGGAAAACACTGAAAACACTTAAACCACATTTCCTTTGAAATCCCATTTCTTTTGTGGAATGAGGATTATAAACAGATCAATAGAATCCATTTCTTTTATTGAAAATATCCTCTTCTAAAAATTTTGCTTCGTCACTTATCAAAAAGATGAATTCTGCCAAATCCAGGTATCAGAAAAACTTGCTATTATTTCAGAAACCAAACGATTTAAGCATAAACCATCATTCGAAAGAAAATTTTATGTGGTAAAATACATCGCGTTCCATTTATAAAATGTACTTTTCACCATTTTTGTATCTGGTGGGCATATCATTAGTTTTTACCAGTGTAAGAAGAATTTAGTTGATAGGAAAAATGAAGAAAATAATTATTTTCTTGAAATCCGCCTAAGGTATAGGAACGTGGCGTTAAAAAATATTTTGGCATCACCGCTTATGGAAGTAGCCAAAATTTCAGCAAATTTCGAAGAATATTCTGTACCAATCATAATAAATAATAAAACTTTAGCGATTTTATTATCTATTGTTATTGGAAAAATCCATTAGCAAAATATTTATTTTTACTTCAAAGCAAGACAAGAACCAGGGACATTTCTTTATTTCTGATACATTTCCAGAGTGTTGACCATTTGTGTCAGTGTTGAATAATCGTTTTTACTTTACGTTTCGAAAAAGTTATTTGTCGCTTGATGCAAAACAGGTTATCAAAAATATGTATGAAACTTTTATCAGTAGAGGACAAGAAGCTTGAAAAGAAACTACAAAAACGCCAATATCGTCGATAAGGGATATTATTAGTAGTGGAGAATTGAAGAAAAGGAATCAACATAATGATTTCCAAAATCACATGAATGACAATATATTGTTTTTACGAACTGAAATAGAAGCTAGTAGAAGATGAAACCATTATAAATATAAGAACTGCCACCCTTTGTAAAACGTTATTCAAGTACCACAAAATAGACAAAAGGCAATTATTAATGAAATTATACAGGTTACGCACTTGGAGATTTCATTACCTTCAAGAAATTAAAAGATATTGATTAGGCAACAGATTCATAATCTACATTGATAAGACATGGTTCGATTCCACTCAAAACTGCACCTTCAAATAAAGGAAAACGCATCACCATTGGGTCAGAAGATGGACTTCTCAGAAACTACTTGCTGTTGTTTTCATAGAATATTAAGGATTCTAGTTTGGATTATGATGAGGCTACAAATGCCGAACTTTTTTAAAATTGGGTACAAAACAATCTTTTAAAAAATATTCCGAATAACAGTCCTATTGTCATGCATAACGCAAGCTAGCACAGCCGTCTATTACATAAATCACCACCCTGACCAAATTCAAAAAATGAAATCCAGGAATATTTTGTTGAAAATTACATTTATTTTTAATTCAGTTATATAAAAGCGCAACTTTTGTATGTCCTAAATTCATATGCAATGAAAAAAGAGAATGTATGCGACAATTTGGCTAAACAGGTTGGGCATACCGTTTCAAGTCTTCCTCCAAATCATTGCATGTTTAACGCCATAGAGCATTTGTCGAACCAAGTAAAATCAAAGATCAGAGCAGACAATGTTACTTCTACTTTAAGCCCTAGTGTAATAAATTTGATAAAAATGTAATTAATAACATATTAATGGACAGCTGGAAAAAATCAGTACAGCACATTTTAAAAATTGAGGCCCCTTACATTTCTATGCAAAACAACATTAATCCTTTTATGATTAATCTCAATGACGACTCTGATAGTGAAACAGAATTAGATTTAGACATTTACAATAAGGATGTAATTATGTATAGATATCCCTAGCTATGACTTTATTCTACGTAATTGTTTTTTCATAGTGTAATTTATTAAGATCATACCCACCAAAATAAACAAAAAAATTATATTATTACCATAACCTTTGAAGGTCGGTCCTTAATGTTCTGTGCCTTAGTATCTGCCGGACCCGAGTTTTATTGTCGTCGGCCGGTAACTTCTATAATTGCGGACAAAAGCCGATGAAGATTTAGGTAGACTATACCGTTCGCCGCAAACAATGAACAATGAACAGCGAAACACCCCGTAGAAGTAGAATGTAATACATTAAGGAAATTCTTTGTAGTTGGTTATTTATGTTGTTTTGGTTTCATATTTGACTTAGCGCGACCAAAATCTATTTTGCAGCGAATAATAAAACTACTAGATGCAGTTTCATACACAAAAATAAAACTGACTAGGCTTATATTTATATCTAACAGTACCGTACAATAACAATAATATAAAACTATCGGCTAAGTCGTGTCCTCACTACGAGGAACCGCCTCTACCCCACCCAGCCGCAGACTGTATTCCAGAATCTCCGCTCTGCGAAGACTCCGCGCTGCAGGGACGACGAATAATCTGGAGTCGGCGCCAACAGCAACCTTCCGACCGTTCTAGTGGCGTCCAAAAGTTTATATTGCGTATATTGCGTCGAGAACAAGTCTTCTTCTCGCGCACCGAACTTCTCCGAGCGCTGCGCGTTTATGTCGTTCGCTATTCTTTCATATTTCTGCATTCGTCCTCTAAGGGACAGGCGGGTGTCGGACTTTAACTCCGAAGCCCTGGTCTCCACTATATCCTTCAGCTCCTCGACGCGACGAAGTTGGGCCCGGAGGTCCTCCTCAGCAGCCATACTTCTGAGCGCCACTTCCCTCAACAGTTGATGTTCCTGTTTCGCGAGCTCTTGTCTGCACTTTTCAAAATAGTCCCTGACGTATTCGGCTACCGTCGCTGACGGGCGACGAATTCACGATTTCATACTTTGAAGGTTCGGACGGACGGACGGATCGGCGTCCTTAGCATAATTATGTACGTATTGCATCAGGGCAATTTTCTAGCGCCTTCCAATAGTTGATAGCTCTAAGTCTTTTATTGTCGAATCTATTTTGTAAGCTATCGTATGCAATTAAGTAGTTATCGGCAATTAACGGTATATTTTTTATTAAAGCAAGTGGGGGTCCAGAAACTTTGGAAAGCAATGAATTAAACTTTTCGATATTGGATAAAACTCTACTGTTGCGTATTAAAGCATCAATTATTTCTATGAAAGTTGGAAAATTTTGAACATCCCCGATAAAAGAAATTAACTCGATTTTCGGTAAACAAGAAATTTTATTATTTATATCAAAAATAGTTGGATTCGTAGAAGTAGAAGAGGAAGTTGATGACCTTTTTAACATTTGTCCTTTTTCGGATACAAGTTTGCTGTAAATTGTTTCAATTTCTAAATAACGCGAAGTAAAATCATTTAGTATTTTAGCCTCAACCTCTAATTTATCGTTATTGCCAGCTAAAGCGACTACGAGAGCACAATTATGTCTTTCGAAATCCCTCTTTAAATCCTTTACATTTTTATATGATATTTTATATCGGACAAGACTAAGAGAATCACCGGAAGCCTTTGAAGCACAATCTTTGGTAGTTTTCAATTGATCTGTTACAATTTTTCCCAGCGCATCGGAGCGAGAAATTTTTTGTTCGTCGGTGAGTACCATTTTGGCCAGTAATAATTACATATGAAGAAATAAAGGAAATAAGGAAGTAAATTTATTACATATATGTACCTTGATATGGATACATCGATCAATATTTTTTGTATCGCAAATATATAGCAAGAATGTGACCTTTACAAATTGCGCTGCAAAGAAGATATAGTAATATAAAAGCAAAATAAATTAAACAGAAAATCAAGTAAGAATTTTAGTACTGCCAAACTCAGGTACTGCTACCAAAACTACCAATCTACCAATATAATCGATCCGGCTCGAAGGACCAGTGTTTACAGGAGTGCTGACGCAATATGTGGACCGGGTAATTATGGAGAAGATATTTCAGTCATTCGTGAACGAGTTCTTTGCACAAATCAAGTTCTGGGTATTGCATAAAGCAAAATGTAAAAGAATGTCTTGGTACTTACCACAAGAAGGCCAGTGATGTAATTGGAATCGCAAATAGCGTAGGAGGAGCCAGCGTGACACATATAGGCACCCGGCAAATTCTATAGCAAATCTGATGTACGTATATCGTCGTCTCTACTCGCACTTCACTTTTTACATATTAATACTTTTTATATGGGACAAAAAAATTCGCAATGGCCGGATATTTCTGTTCAAACAAGTTGAACATTTTATTTTTTCTTACTCTCCGGTTTCCACTCTAAATAAATAAATTTAGGTTCTGGTTATATATATATATATATATATATATATATATATATATATATATATATATATATATATATATATATATATATATATATATATATATATATATATATATATATATATAAAGGCTTAAAATTAAAGTTAAATTAGACTTGTTAAGGCAGTAAATAATAAAATAAATCTACAATGACAAATTATATAGCTAAACAAAAACTAAATTTATAACCGAAACCGAAGAGTAAAAAATAAAATGTTCAACAAACAGAAATATCCGGTCAATGAGGTTTTTTTTGTGATATAAACAAAGTTTAATTTCTCGTTTGGGTATCCAACAACCTGTCCAACAGCATTTGACTAATTCCAGCCAAAATTGAACATACTACATTCTGAAAGAGATGCTTATGATATTCAAAATACTTTACATGAACGCAGGGCGCAAACGTTCGATGGTTTTAAAACTATTACCTATACCTGACGCAAGATACAAAAATCTGATGAGGCTGATGGAGTTTTGCAAACACGATGCTCAGGTCTATTACCAGTAGAATCTATTAGTATGTAATTGGATTAAGAAAGCATTTTATCCTTCTTCTAACTTACAATATTTAGTGATTTATTTTTAGCTTTTCTGCAAGTTTGTGCAACCAATGGCACACAATGGTGACATTCGGATATTCCTTGTTTTTTTCGTTTTTTTTCTGCATTTAAGAATATTTTTAAGAATTTTCTGTTGATTTTACTAAAATAAGTTTGCGTACTTGGTAGGATGTATATTAATTTCAGTAAATTGTAATGATTTGTTGCATAGTAATGCCTCTGATCCGCTGAGTAAATGTTTTTCTGACTTTTTTTCCTTTAATAATCTGCGACAATACAATCATGTTTTAAATACTAGAAATGAAATTTTGTATTTAGCCGTGTCTGCTGCTCTAAAGAAGAAGGTAATTGAATGTAGTAGTATGTACTAGTCCGTTAGTTCCTGTGCACTGCCATCACCCATCGCCAGAAATAAGTATCAATTTGAGCTGCGAAAAAAATATTATCCGTAATTCGTGCGAAAAATCAAATTTTTCTAAAGTTAATTATGCAATAATTAATGATGAAATTCGTTCTATTCCTTGGAATGCTTTATTGACATCCAGTGATGTTGATGGTAGCCTCGACTGTTTTTATGAAAAATTGTCAGATATTGTAAATACATACATATATTCCAAAAATCAATATAAAAAACGGACATATCCTGGACGAGAAAGAGCAATGGACTGTAATTTTTGTTTAATTGAAGCTAGAAATAACGGGGCGATTCAAAAAAATAATATATTGATGTAACGAGACGAAAAATGACATCTCTTTTCTTCTTGGCCTACCTTGATGTAGCTCTGGCTGTTGACCTGCACAATTTCGCAATACTTGACGGCACTCGAGATATTAATTCTGGCACGCGGAAAATGCTCTCACGTTGGTCTCTGCCTGAGTCGTACTAGTCCCGATCACAGCGGAGTACGACACCCAAGCGACATACGAGTTTTTCTGGACATATACCCAGTGAGATTGTCACCAAAATACGCGGAGAATATAACCGCAGCAATTAATTAATAGAAAACCAATTTCAATTTGCTCGATATAAAAATTCCCCAATTACAAAAATTAAAGAGGAAAAATAAAACAAACGAGCTCACAGGGACTGGAAAAATAGGGGACAAATAGTTTATGAAGTTTTTTCGAATTAAAGTTAGACCGTTAAAATTAATATTAGTCAAGATTACAAAGCGTACATTGCTGTAACAGAACAAAACATTAAGTAAGATACAAAATATTTTTGGTCGTATAGTAGCAAACAAAAAAAAAACACAAAATGTCTGCCACATGTTTCGAACAACCTTGGTATCTGTGAACTTTTCTCAAGCTTCTTTAGTAGTCTCTTTGAATCATTTGACACCCCTTCACTAATAAAGCCAATTCCATCACAAGAATGTTTTAACGTTGATCATATATCTAAGGAAAATGTAAAGAAATTTTGATGCTCTGTTAATCTCCAAAAGGGACTTGCCCATTTTAAAATCTGTTGAAGAGAGTAATGTAGCTAACTACAGACCCATCTCTCTCTTAAGCCACTTTGACAAGTTTTTTGAGTCACTTCTTTTGGCGCAATTATTATTTATTGTTTATTATTTATTATTTATTGTTTGTTTAATCAGTGAATGACAATATGGAGCAGAGGTTAGAGACTTGCACCGTTTACACCGATTTCTCCAAATAAAATACATCAAGCAACTGCCGTGAAACTGGAGAATTTCGGTGTGCACGAGTTACTTGTGCGGGCGATCTCAGTACATTGTTGTAAATAGGATAAAATCAAAGAGTACAAATATAACTTCGGGGGTACCTTAAGGGTCGCATTTGGGTCCCTTATTGTTTGCTATTTTAGTACTTACTCCTTGTACGCAGATGATCCAAAAATTTCAAAATCGGTTCAAAAATTTCAAAATCGGTTCGCTCGGCGGCAGACTCCTTATCGTTGCAGAGAGATTTGAGTATTGGGTATATTTTTCTCTGAACAGATTATTGGTTAACTCTGAGAAATGTCACTGTTTACAAAAAAATTACCACAATTGCAAATTAAAAGTGATCTCTACCTAGGTAACTACAAACTGAATTTTTTCGGACTCGGTAAATGACCTGGGTATTACATTGTATTTGGGGCTTCTTTTTGAGATGCACATAGAAAATATTGTTCGAAAGGCTCTGTTGGGGTTGCTGACGAAAGACCAAGATTGACGACAATTCGTGTGGATTATAATTACTTTATATTTTTAAGAAACACTTAGAAGAAAACCTAATAACAAAATTCTGAAGGCTCTTTTTGAAGTTTCGTCGCGCCGCCCCGCCGTCACGCAAGGTTCGCACTGTTAGCCTTAGTGCCGAGTCTTTCACAAAGTCTGTACAGCTGCGTCTGTCTGTAGGAAAGACTTGTTTATAAATAAATAAATAAATATATACTGTTTCACTGATCCTAAATTTAAAGCTATTGAGCCATAAATGTTAAATATCCAATTTTCTCAAAACAAAGATAAGGTGAAATTCCTTGTTTTTTTCCTTCACACTTCATATGACATGTAAATTGCCAAATAGCAATTTTATGTAACATGTGTGCCCTCCATGCGGTGCAATGTCCAAGGTTATATTTTGTATAAACAAGAAGACAATGTATAGTGCAGAGGGCCGTTTTATGAGCCGGAATCCAGCAATACGTGCTTTTATGGGCTCGCGATCGCTATAAATTAGGTTACCGTCAATATTGACCCTCGTCGCATATAGAATGCGGATAATCAAGCAATGCGACTAACGAAAAAAAAAAAAGAATTGTCAAGGAGGGCATTTAATTTTTCATGAAATTTTCGAGTGACCTTCCAAAGGCGAAGATTGGTGTAATTAAGAAGTGGGGCAAATGTCGTTATCCCATTTCAAATAACAGGCAATTTTCGTTGACCCAAAGATTGTCCTTATCTTCAATCATCGCATCGCACTGTGCGCCCCATGCATGAACTAGGTTGCAATAAATCATTATTAAAAATGCAAAATTTGTCAATGTTTTTAAATTAAGAACATACTGAAACATGTAAAAACAGTATTGCTTTCTAAAAATGCTTTACCAAGAATTTTTTGTAAAGGCACAATATCAGATGTTTAAAAGAAAGTCTATTTTTATTGCAGTCGCTTCAATAAAATAAATTCGTACTTTTTAAAACAAATGCCGCTTTAAGTATTTGACAACTGATGTCAGTCCTGTTAATTAGTTTAGACCTGTACATGCAATGTAGAATGTTTGTGTTTTTTCTGCGATTTGACAAGAAGTGACGGGATAAGTACTAAATTATGTTATAGAATATGCTGATGAAATGCTAGCTTCAGTATTCCAAGTACCTGCGACGCGACGTTTGCATAAGAACTTTATATATATGAGAACAATATACTTTGTGAACAGTTCTGCTTGTAAAGGATTAAATAAAACCTCGTAGTTCTGTTTGTAAGACAAAAAAAGTGTTTTTTTAAATACGAGATCCTTCGTTCGAAAACCTTAACTGGCGCAGTCAGTAGGATGGACAAAAATATGATAGAATTATCACAGAACTTGTACGTAGTAAACATTCATCTGACATCCAACTAAAAAGCAAAAATTTTTTAAATATTCCACCTATTCCCAGTACCTGTGAATCACTCCTTAATTATACCTAATTCACCCTACCTAATATTGGGCACTGACATGGAACAATATCAAGAATCAATCTGCCCAATCATTGAAGACACCTACGTTTGCGAAAATCAACTTA